TGGATGAAATGAAAGACTCTGCCAAAACCTCTGACAGGAGATTGGTTATACGTGATCTCTGACCAGTCAATAGCCTCAAGACTGATATTTGGAAAGAGGTTAGAAAGCCTGGCTTGCCTTGTCCTCTTTCAGCTAGAAATCAGAAGGCTGGCACTGGGGCTTAAAATTGAAATGCTTTATTTCCTTTTGATTTTTTGGCCAAAAGTGGTGAGATTCCTTCTCTGTAGTAGTAGTTGGTGTTGGTACTGGTTGACTTGCTTCAGAAGCAAATCTAATACCCATTGTTAATCTTCATAGCTGTGGTATTTAATATTCTTTCAGAGCTCCTTCTTGAAAAAATTAAAATATCTGAAAGGTCCCTCAAAGCCTCTGGTTTCATAACCTGACTGTCAAAAAATAATATCTTTTTTTCTTCTACAGCCCCCAGAGAGCCCCTAGTTTTCTTCCAATAAATTTGAGTTAAGTAATTTTTCACTCTGGTTCTTTTTTTTTTTTTTTTTTTGGGGGGGGGACAGGGAGGGGGGCCTGTACTGGGGGTCTGGTCTATGTGTTGTTGAAGTTCCTTACACTTTTAAATATTCATGTGTATAAGAAAATAATGAGGTGGCCTGGAATGCCACAGCAGTTTCACTTGTGTTACAAATGTTCTAATTAATAGTGAAGTAGGTTTTGTTGTTAAATTAATGAGCAAAAATGGCCCCCAGTAATCTGCACCTTTCAAACTGTTAATTAAATTCTCACTGAATTCTTTGAACCCCAATGCCTTTATGTAAAACACAACAGGTCAAGTAAGATGGAGAGGTTTTGTTCTGATGGTCTGGTGAAGCAGTTGCTCATTAGACTATGGAAAAGTGGGAGAAGTTCACATAAGCTGGGCAAACTAAGTTCAGTTCTCGACTCTTCTGCAGTACTAGAGTTAATAATAGAGTTAACTAATACCTGTAAGCATTATGAAAGGATATACCAATGAATATCTTGTGTGTTTTGTGCTCTGCTACAGCAAGGTTTCATTTACCATTTTTCTTTTTGGCATCAATTTAATGATTTGGTACTTGTAGTGAGTGAGACTTTTACTTTTTGATGCAGTATTTTCTTCCCATGAGAAGCGTTCTAGATTCTGTAGATATATGATGTTCAGGTTTAATTTAAGGGCTTCTTGTTTATTTGCTGATTTAACTCTATAACATGTTTTCTTATTAACCAGGACAGATGAATCTGTTCTCACAGAGTCATTAGTAATCTTTTCACCAGGATGTCTGGCTGTTACCCTACTATGGATAATAACAATCCAGCCTCCACTGGCATTACCAGAACAGAACTATTTGTAGCTATGTTATGTAATTCAAACATGTTGTCAAGGGGTGAGTTTACTCAGTGTACGTTCAATCTCTGCTCTAGCAGAGAGCTGGAACATTAATTTCTTTGCTTTTTTTTTTTTTTTTTTTTTTTGTGTCAATACTGTGGAAGTCAAGAGCCATGTTTTGTCTTCTGGAAAAATCAATCCAGCTGGATGTAAAGCAACTAAAGCACAGTCATTTTTTAAAGCCATGGGGTTTAAACTCAAACATGTGGGTCTTGGTTTTGGTTGTCTTCTGGTGAATTTATGAACCTCACATTCCTGGTTTCCAAAGACTGTGTACTGTTTGCAGCTTTTAATAGCTGGCCTTGATTAGTGGTAATGTGCCACACTGAGAAGAGAAAGCACTTAATTTTGTCACCTTGCTCAACTACTTTAAAGAGGGATCTTTTCCCAAATTATTCTTGATTCCAAGGTGGAAATCAGATTGCTCAGATTCTTGAAAACCCTGACAAGACATGTTTTGTATATTAAATGCATATTAATTCTTTAACCTTTATTAATAGAAGATTTATTTTACCATAACAGATAAATGTGGCCTGTGTAAAATAGAGGTGAGCACAGCAGCAGAATAGAAGAAATTTACTTCCTTAGCATTTTGATGGAATTGCTTTTTAGTTGGAGAAATCTAATTTTATTTCCTTAGCTGATGAGGTTAAATTTTACTAGGGTAAAATATCTTAGAGAGTTTAAGAACTGAAAATATTTTCTTTAATTCAATAACTGTGTTAGATAAAGCTAAAACTTGAGTACAGTATATTACTTTCCTACTTGCACCTCTGTGTACTGCTTATTGCATTGTCTGATTGTACTGATACCACTAAAGTGTCCTTCATCATTTTTCTTTTGAAATTCCAGCATTTCTGGCTACTTTTATCATGAAAGAAAAGCTTTACCAAACATTGACAGCAGTCAGTATTCATTCAAACTGAAAGTTTTAAAGTAATAACAGATTTTTTTTCCTATTGCATATAAGCAAGCTCATTTCATTTTGTTATGAGTGGTTTTGCTTTAGGATCCAGAATCTATTCAATATCGGATTTCTGCACGTTGATTGAAATGCATTGAGCTGTTACATCAAATGGCACATACTGGATAGTGAAAACTCTCCTTCCAGTAGCTTGTGCTACTGGAAGTTACTGCAAATATATGGAAAGGATTCCAAGTTAATAATTGTTTAGTTTGCTTTGTTAGTTGCTAGATAGGGGCTGAAATCTCCTGGGGTATTACAACCAAGCTGTGTTTGAATTACCAAGGTGATGTTTGCTTTCTTCCTGTTGATCATCTCCCAGCTCATGCTGGCCCAATTGCTACTGGGGATGGGTTTCAAACCCTTACAGGGGGTGTTTTAAAGTATTTCTGATACTGACAATTAAATACCCATTAATTCTTCCTTTCAAAAAGGGAAGTCAGTTTCTTCAGCAGCCTATGATCTTGGTCAAGAGCTTTCAGGTACAGAACTAAAATCTCAATGAAATTAGTTTAGAAAATGTTTTCTTTTCCTATACTGGATTTTTAACATAAAACATCTTACAGTCAAAGGTGTTGAGGCAACATGAACAGCTGCGTCTTCTGTTCCTCATTCCCTGGTTGTTTTTGTGCAAACTTCTGTAGGCATGTAACAAAAGCATGGGAGTTTTGTTAGGAATAAGTCTTTACATGAAAGTGATAGTACTGGAATTTTTTTATCTCTTTGCTTACATCCTCATGTGGTAGCTGTAGTTTTGTATGGTTTTCATTTGTAACTGTTGGCAGTGGGTACACTGCAGCTGGGGATCTGAAGGTGTAATTGCTCACCTCATTTTTCACATCATTATTCAAAAGAAAAAAAAAATACCTTTCTGTGTTTCTCTTCCCTCTTCGGGGCACCTAGCGCATCAAGGCTTTTTTATTTTATGTACAAAGGTAGTCTCACTTTATCTTTTGCCCTTGAATTTCTTCGCAATTTATTTGTTGCTGGCTTTATTAGTAGGGCTTATTAATTCTATGTGACATAAGCACAGCTGCTATGCTTAATCATACATTCAGTTAGCATTTTCATACTTGTAGGTGTACTGGGAAGATGAAATTGCTACTTTCATGCAGCACAACCAATCCTTGATTAATTTCTCCTGTCATTACTTATAGCAACAAGCTGCATTCTTTGTATAGTTCTGCTGCCTTTCACCATGTTGAAGATCTGCTGTCATTCATAATACAGTAGATATGTAATTGTAGAATGATAAAGAAATAGAGGCTTTCACTTTGAATTTTCCTAGATTAGAAAATCATCCCATTGGCCATTTTTTCTAGGTTTTTGGTTTTTTCTTCACTAAGTATCAGATTTTATTTTGTATTTTCTCAAAACACAGGGGAATTTAACAGTCATTTTAGAACTGAGTTGTCACTTGCACTCATGAAATTTTTGGCTTATCTGTCCTTATCCTAGCTACAAGCCTCTATTTGCAGCACAACTTCATAAATCAAAGTGATTCTAATATTAAGGAAGAATACATAAAACTGCTGCAAAAGGATGACTTTTGTCTCTAGGTTGCAACTTGTAAATGTGTCTCTGCCTCTTAAGAAGAAAATGAAAGGCATTTTCAAATAAATAACAACAATGGGTTGTTGTTCAAATAAATGTTCAATGTTCAAATAAAAACAATGGGTTCAAGGTGGTGGCAGAGAGAAGTGGAGAGAATTGCTTTGCTGTTCTCTCATTTTTGAGGAACTAGACAGATGCTACATATTGAAGATATCCTGGGACAAAAATCCCTGAGGGATAACACTACAAGCTTCCGATCAGTCAATCTGATCTTCCTTTTTGTTGCCATGAGCTTATTATTTGAATTACCTTGGGGATGTTTGCTTTTTTCTCTACTGACCTTGTCATAGCCATGCTTAACTAATTTCTATTAGTTGTGGGTTCTCCTGCTTTGTGTCAGAATTGAGCAAATGAGCCCCACTTAGGACGTGAGAAAGAAGCCAGGGCTTGTCTCGGACCATATGAAATCCCGGCCTTTTCAACAATGTGTAGAAAGCTAAAGAGTTTGCCAGTATCTGTCTCAAGTCTGTCTAGAAGGACCTGTTTTTAAGCTATCCTGGTCAATGCTGTTGGGAGCCCTTGTTTGCTGAGCCAGCAGAGGCTGCAGCAGGGCTTGGCAGTGCAGCAAGGCAGCTTCAGCCCTTGCCTTCAGCTCCGAATGCTTCCCAGTTTTTCACTTTGAAGTCATTGCCACTTGTTTGTGTCACTCAGTCAGTGAAGGCTAGATCACAGCTGAGGCTCACTGGGTATCTTGGCTCTGTATTCCATTCATGATTTCTCAATCTTTTTCAAAATAATTTTGCTAGGAATTGCTACGTGGAGGTGAGCAAATAAATTTGAAATGTAGGCCTGTTACCAAATTGGTAGGATTAGTAGGTCAAATACTAGTCATTTATTTTGAAGAAAACAATTATTTAAAAAAAAAAAACAGCATCTGTCTGCCTTTTTGAGGTTTCATTTGCTCATGCTTTGTAGTATGTGACCACAGAGCTGTCCTGTAAAATACCCTAAATGCAAAACCCTGGAGTGCTAAATTTCTGCCATTAGCATTCTTCCCTTAGGTGTATATAGGTATCACTGTTATTATTTCACTCAATCTGAATCCCAGTTTCTTTTCAGGTCAAGGGCCAAAGGAGAAAACCAGGAAGCAGGAAATGCTTGTGTTTTGGATGGATCAGGTACTACTACCAAGTTGTCAATCAGCTGGTTGGTGACTTCTCTTGAGTTTTTTTAAGTCAAGACAGTTTTGGAAATGTGCAACATTGACATCATTGTTTCATTTGTCTCAATTATTGAAGATTAAAAGACAAAACATCTGCACCAAACACCATCTTAGAGCTTTTTATTGGTAATAGGAAAGAATTTTTCAGATAGCTCATCAAACCTAAAAGCAGTGATATAAAAATATTGTAGATATTTATTGTTAAGATCAGAGTTTCATTATTGAATATTATTGAATATTACCAGTCCAAAGCAGTTAAATAAAGTAGTCTCATATTATCATGCTGGGCATTATATGTCCATTGTAACTTGTAAAACTGGGTAATAGCCTTTCCCATCTTCCCCACTATTTTGGCATAGGCAGAATATGAAGACAGAACCAGAGAAAATACCAAACCACATGTTAGCAACTTGCATATAAAGAGAAAATATTTGTTCATTTTTATGTGTGTAAGGGCAGGTTTTTTGGATTTGGATTTTGTTTCAGTGGATTTATTGGTAGGGTTCCCAGACTGCCCTAAAGCAGGGCACAGGCTGGCTATGGCTGAAGGAAATAAAACACCAAGGTAACTCTGGGGCAATGTTCTACTTTGTAACTTCTCCTGACTTTCAGCATTATATCTAGCCAGAAGTATAAGTGCTTATTTCACCAATTACTTACTGTTATAGCAAAGGTGTCTGATTTTTGCAGTAAGATAAATACAGATATATATACAATATACATCAGAAATTACATTATATAAATAGAGCATCTATAAAGTACAGCTACAGGCTTTTTCAAACCTATATTAATTATTTATTGTGCATTCAGACCCTACTGGAGTTTTTCATTTGATCCAGAGTTGCTGATAAAATTTAATGGCTAATTTCAATTGATGAGCTTTGTGGGGAGAAATACTTGATTTACAAAGTGAGGAAGGTGTTATGCTTTTGCATCTGTCCCATTCAACACTCAGGTGGTCAGAGCATTTACAAATGAGAGGGGGGAATTGGCATTCTGAAGGCAAAACTTGAATTTTTGTAGTCAGTAACCCTTGAGTTCCTAAATCTATGGTCTGAATCAGGCAGAAGGAAGCTAGTCCTCTCCTCCTCCAGGTGAGCACACTGAGTCACTCACAGAGAACAGGGTTCTCCCACCATCATGAGTGCTGCATGAGCTTTTAAGTTCTGCAGTTGCTCTTGTTAAATATCTCCAAGTGGAATAAAAGCTTAATTCCTGCTTCAGTGTGAACCATGGCCTTCTACTTCCCCACCTCAGGAGAGCAAAATAGCCCCCAGTGCACTTTTATTTTATCTTGGCACCCCACCTGGAATACTTTGTCCAGGTGTGGGGGTCCCAACACAAGAAGGACATTGATCTGTTGGAGCAAGTCCAGAGAAGGGCCACTAAGTTGATCTCAAGCCTGGAGCACCTTTCCTATGAAGACAGGCTGAGAGAGTTGGGACTGTTCCACCTGGAGAAGAGAAGGTGCCAGGAATACCTTACAGTGCCTGAGGGGCTACAAGGCAGCTGGAGAGGGACCTTTGACAAAGGTATGAGGTGATGGGACAAGAGGAAATGGCCTAAAGCTGAGGGAGGGAAGGTTAGATTAGATACTGGGTAGAAACTCTTCACTGTGAAGGTGGTGAGACACTGGAACGGGATGCCCAGAGAAGCTGTGGGCTCCCCTTCCCTGGAGATGTCCAAGACTGGGCTAAATGGGGCTGTAAGTAACCTGGTCTAGTGGAAGGTGTCCCTGCCCATGTCAAGGAGTTTGGAACTAGATGATTTTTAAGGTCCTTTTCAACCTAAGCCATTCTGTGATTGTGTGGTTTAATAACAACCTTTGTTTCCTGTAAATCTTATGATTTGTTAGCCGAACCAAATATTAATCATGCTCAGGAGACGTGCCTGAAACCCTCCCTCCTACTCACAAGCCAGGTGGGAACCATGGAAAAAGGGGGATGAGAATGGGAAAGTATTCTGGGAAGTCTGTGAAATCTAAAAACTAAATTATCGTTCTTCTGCAAGTCTCAGTGTGCAATTTTCCTGAGCAATGTGCAAAAATAACAAGCCAGGAATACTTCATTGGCTGAAAATACAGAGAATATTGTGAAAGCCATCCTGGAAAATTGTCCAGTTACTACATAGAACTAACTTCTTATTATCAAACTCTAAAAATTACATGTTTTATCCTAATATCGGCACTACAATCTCCAGGCTGTGTTTCGCCTTCAAGCCTTCATAAACCCCTGAACAAGCCTGGACTCTGAAGCACTGGAAAGATTCTTTTCTCTGGAGTTACTGCCTTCTCTCTGGGAGCTCTGGTGTCAGGTCAGGCTTTGAGCTCAATAGGGAACCTCTGCATCACACACTCATTCTCCCTTCACATCAGGTGTGGGATTTATTTCCTCACGCCAGTTTGCTTTCTTGTGTGAGAGAAAGAGGCCTTATCACCAGTTCTTACTGTTACTTTTTAATATTCAAGTCCACATCCCACACTGCATAGTAATTCTGTGTGAACAAGCAATATTTAAGGCATCCTAAAATTTCCACTTCTATAACATATGGGGGGATTTGTATATATGATTTTTTAGTGGGTATTTGCAAGAGCCATACCAGCCAGTGAAAATTTATGAATGCTTTCTAGGCCATTTCTTCTGCAAAACTCTCTACTCGGTTGCAGATTATTGAGAAAAAGAACTTTGATTGTTTTGTGCAGATTCTGTTAGTAGAAAAATCTTTGCATTTCAAGTGCTGGAGGAGGGCATGCCTATGGCACTTTGAAACTCCATCACTGAATTGTTTTGACTGTTTTGCACAAAATCATGCTTAGATTTGAACCCCACCTGGATTTCATGACTTTTGCCTCTCTGTTCTACTCAATTAGCTGGGGCTTTTTTCATGTGGGTAAATGAAATACAGAAAGCTTTGAAAAATACTGTCTTGAAAAATATGCATTTGGACCCTCAATGAGACTTTGATTTTTTAATATGCTAAAAAATTCTAAGCTGAAAATAATCCATTTTTATTATAAAGCTTTGAGCAGTTTTGCAGAGATAGGTGTTGAGAATGCTGTGTCATTTGCATTATGGAGCATATCCTGTTAAAGTACTTATTCAAGCCCATGAAAATGTTCACTGATTTGAGAAGGCTTTGGATGAATCCCATACTTTCCAACTTGTAAAAATGCTGTCATTACAGAACTCAAGTTTTGACTGTAAAAATTTCAGTTTTGCAGCTTGATTGGCAGACTTTAATAAAACTATTTATATACTCAGTGGTTTACAAAATATGTTCCTCAACCTTAACAACTTCATCATTCTTTCCTTATTTATGAAAATCAGAACTTTGTGCATAGAATTGCAATCTGCACAATGAAAAGGCATATTTCAATTTTTATTTTCTAATATTTCTCCATTTTATCAAACTTGGATGTTTTGCAAATGTTTATATAAAGCATAGAGCACACCAAAACCACAGAACGCTGTTATCCCCTCTGTATATTCCTAAATTGCCTTATTATTAAGTTAGTTCTTATAAATCCTTGAAACAAAAGTTTTCAGTTTTAATTGAGGAGGTTGTTTTCAGGTGAATAACATTCCTGTAGGTTTTCCTCTCTGCATTGAAGTACTATTGCACCAAATATTATGCATATTTCTCAAGGAACCTCTCATTTTTTAGTGAATTGATTTTTGTCAAGACAAGGAAAGTAGATTGAAATTGGCTTATAACTCTCCAGTCTGTGGGAGAGACCATAATCAGCTGCAGGAACACTGTGGTTCTGAATATACTATGAAGAAAAAAGAAAAGCATCATGAGCACTTTCGTGTCTGTTTCCCATGGGTATTTATGTAGCATACATTTAAAAATTTTTACATGCATCCTATTCATTTCTGAATTAATAGTATCATAAATTAGCTGTTCAAATTCTGTGTTTGGGCTTAACTGTGCCTACTCACTTTCCATCCTGGTATAGATGAAATTGTGCCAGAAGTGAGTTTGACCATTCCATTCCCTTCCAGGACTCTGCATCACTCGGTGCAGTTGCCTTGAGGATGTGGCTGCTGCAGGGAGTAGAGACCTGGCACTGAACTGCAGGCAGTGCCTTCCTTACAAACACTCTCTTGCAAAACTATTGACCGCTTTTGAATGTTTAGTTTGGAATGATGAGGGTGAAGGAATAAAGTAAATCATTGTCCAGAATGTTTAACCTTTGCAGTTTCTGCAGGTAGGTGTTTGTGTTGGTGTCTCAACATGGGTTTGTATAACTCATCACCTTTAATGTCATCAAAATCACATTTTGGAAATACTTCTAAGACAACAACAGAAATAGACTATGCTTCCAGTCTAACTGTTTTTTTTTTATTTATTCTGAAATAGTTGGGTGTTTGTCCCCTATCACCTGATCTGTTGCTGTTTTTCCCTCTGTTTCAATAGGAGATGAGGTGTTTGCCAGTTGTCCTATAAAGTTGTTGAAGAACTTTGTGTCAGTCGAAGGCAAGAAATGTTGTTGATAGGTTGCCACAGAGTTCATGTGGAGAGCTTGCTGGAGTAATGTATATTGTCAGCACCAAGAGCTGTGACTCAGAGTATTAGCAGAAAGACATCTATTCAAACAAGCAGGGTCATCCTCCATCCTAAAGGTGCAAGTTCATACTAGGCAGGAATCTGCCCCCAAGGCTTTATCTCCACATAAATCCTTGCTTCAGTGTGATGGAGTGTTTGCCCAAAAGAGGGCTGACACTTTAGGATGTTAAAAAATAAAATTTGTTCTTAAAACTCTGAAAGTATTTCCTCTGCAGAAACATACACATACAGTCTTGCATTATAAAAATTTTTAACCATTGTTAAATGTTTTCTTTAATTCCAATTCACCACCTAATTACCTCTACCTTTTAAATATAATAATGCATTCTTGAAGCACAGTAGAGCTTTCACTTAATGCTGGGATTTGTGCATTGTAGACATCAGACT